ATAGGGTGGCCTAAACTTGTACTTTTAGCAGCAAGTGGGGGGAAGGACAGGCCAACCAACCATCCTGAATACCTTGACTATAGCTGGAGAGTGCAGTGGAAGTAATAGGGTGGCCTAAACTTGTACTTTTAGCAGGCAAGTGGGGGGAAGGACAGGCCAACCAACCATCCTGAATACCTTGACTATAGCTGGAGAGTGCAGTGGAAGTAATAGGGTGGCCTAAACTTTGTACTTTTAGCAGCAAGTGGGGGGAAGGACAGACCAACCAACCATCCTGAATACCTTGACTATAGCTGGGGAGTGCAGTGGAAGTAATAGGGTGGCCTAAACATTTGTACTTTTAGCAAGCAAGTGGGGGGAAGGACAGACCAACAACCATCCTGAATACCTTGACTATAGCTGGAGAGTGCAGTGGAAGTAATAGGGTGGCCTAAACTTGTACTTTTAGCAAGCAAGTGGGGGGAAGGACAGGCCAACCAACCATCCTGAATACCTTGACTATAGCTGGAGAGTGCAGTGGAAGTAATAGGGTGGCCTAAACTTTTTGTACTTTTAGCAAGCAAGTGGGGGGAAGGACAGACCAACAAACCATCCTGAATACCTTGACTATAGCTGGAGAGTGCAGTGGAAGTAATAGGGTGGCCTAAACTTGTACTTTTAGCAAGCAAGTGGGGGGAAGGACAGACCAACAAACCATCCTGAATACCTTGACTATAGCTGGAGAGTGCAGTGGAAGTAATAGGGTGGCCTAAACTTGTACTTTTAGCAAGCAAGTGGGGGGAAGGACAGGCCAACCAACCATCCTGAATACCTTGACTATAGCTGGAGAGTGCAGTGGAAGTAATAGGGTGGCCTAAACTTGTACTTTTAGCAGGCAAGTGGGGGGAAGGACAGGCCAACCAACCATCCTGAATACCTTGACTATAGCTGGAGAGTGCAGTGGAAGTAATAAGGTGGCCTAAACTTGTACTTTTAGCAGGCAAGTGGGGGGAAGGACAGCCAACAACCATCCTGAATACCTTGACTATAGCTGGGAGAGTGCAGTGAAGGAATAGGGTGGCCTAAATTGTTTGTACTTTTAACAAGCAAGTGGGGGGAAGGACAGACCAACTAACCATCCTGAATACCTTGACTACAGCTGGAGAGTGCAGTAGAAGTAATAGGGTGGCCTAAACTTGTACTTTTAGCAGGCAAGTGGGGGGAAGGACAGGCCAACCAACCATCCTGAATACCTTGACTATAGCTGGAGAGTGCAGTGGAAGTAATAGGGTGGCCTAATTTGTACTTTTAGCAAGCAAGTGGGGGGAAGGACAGACCAACAAACCATCCTGAATACCTTGACTATAGCTGGAGAGTGCAGTGGAAGTAATAGGGTGGCCTAAACTTGTACTTTTAGCAAGCAAGTGGGGGGAAGGACAGGCCAACCAACCACCCTGAATACCTTGACTATAGCTGGAGAGTGCTGTAGAAGTAATAGGGTGGCCTAAACTTGTACTTTTAGCAGGCAAGTGGGGGGAAGGACAGACCAACCAACCACCCTGAATACCTTGACTATAGCTGGGGAGTGCAGTGGAAGTAATAGGGTGGCCTAAACTTGTATTTTTAGCAGGCAAGTGGGGGGAAGGACAGACCAACAAACCATCCTGAATACCTTGACTATAACTGGAGAGTGCAGTGGAAGTAATAGGGTGGCCTAAACTTGTACTTTTAGCAAGCAAGTGGGGGGAATGACAGACCAACAAACCATCCTGAATACCTTGACTATAGCTGGAGAGTGCAGTGAAGGAATAGGGTGGCCTAAATTGTTTGTACTTTTAACAAGTAAGTGGGGGGAAGGACAGACCAACCAACCACCCTGAATACCTTGACTACAGTTCAACACAGCTGGAGAACACGTAGAAAAAACAGGATGAACCTTTTCGTACTTTTAGCAAACAAGTGAGAAACAGAACAGGCCAACCAAAACACCTGACTATAGCTGAACTAGCTGGACAATGCAGTAATCACCCCCTCCCCCCTCTCTCCCTCACACACACACACCTCTTCTCTCGGTGCGACACTGGGTGTCTGGTTTATCAAACTCAAACAGGCATCCAGGGAGTCGTCCCTGAGGCCTGCAGCTCACGTATCCTGGCTGGACACTCTCTGTAATGAGGTTCCTTCTCTCTCCTACTCCTCCCCAAATACCCTCCTGGGTAAATTAAGATTGTAAGGCAGGTAGGCATAATCCAGGTGTGGTGTACTCCGTTCAAAAGAAGGAAATAATTACAACGATGACATCACAATGATGTAATGACTAACCCGGAGATACACGTAGCGATTGTTGTCGTCGCAACGGAGGAGGTCATTATTGTCGGTATCGCAATCGCAGTTACCCGTGTTGCTGTTGTAGACGTAACCAGGGTGACAACCTTCGACCTTTAGATTCTGAGATTCAATCTCTCCCTAAACAAAAGAAATGGAAACAAAGAGATACAAAATAATTTATCGACGAAAATCACCAAAACCTCAGTGGTACATGCAAGAACCTGAAAAGTGTCAAAATTCCAGCTGAAAATGGCGTCAGATAAAGCAAGAAGCTTGTTCATTACATGGACATGTGACGTGGTGTGTAAAAGATTGTAGCTTTGAGCAGGTTAAAAATTTGGGATGTCATAAATATTTTGTGAAAAATTTGTGGTACGTTATAAATAGTAGACAAACCAGAGTTCTGAGTAGAGAGAAATTTAGTCGTATCAGAGAGGTGAAATCATCACTAAACTCTCCATCCTCCCCTCCTCCTCCTCCTTCTCCGTCTTGTGCCGGCGGCCCGTCTGAACAGCTGCATTCAGTGACATCGGTGTGGTTCAGACAGGGGGCACAGGGCACCTGGGACAGTAGAAGAAGCAAACGATAAAACAACATTTAGGCTGCAGTGTAGCACAAAATTTTCATGGTGCAAATTTGTTCAAACGATCAAATGAACTCGGACACTGTTGAGATAGAGGAGCACTATAATGTAGAGAACTCACTGCATAAACATAAGTGTCTCTGTTAGCAGAAAGAGCATCAAGATTCTGTGTGAAGGGGGAGGGGGAGAGGACAAATAAAGCACGGTGGAACCCCTCTCTAATGACACCCCTGAAATGAGGACACCTCTCTAATAAGGACACCTTTTCTTTCTCCAAGAACAACAATTATTTTAACACCTGAAATGAGAAAATTTCTCTAATACGGACACATTTTTGTCCTGTTCGGATGTGTCCCGATTATTTCAGGCAAAGGACCCAAAAATACCAACAGTTTGACTACAGTTGGAGGTTGGAATAGCGATACTATCTCGCTGTACCTAAACACTCATTTTTCTAGCAATTTCCTTCCTTTCCGACAAGGGTTTGAACAGTTTTGCATTTGTTGTACGCATGCGAGTAAACGAAAGGACAAACCAACAATGCCTAACACTTTGACTATAGTTGGAGGTTGGAATAGCGATACTATCTCGCTGTTCCTAAACACTCATTTTTTCTAGCAATTTCCTTCCTTTCCGACAAGGGTTTGAACAGTTTTGCATTTGTTGTACGCATGTGAGTAAACGAAACGACAAACCAACAATGCCTAACACTTTGACTATAGTTGGAGGTTGGAATAGCGATACTATCTCGCTGTACCTAAACACTCATTTTTCTAGCAATTTCCTTCCTTTCCGACAAGGGTTTGAACAGTTTTGCATTTGTTGTACGCATGTGAGTAAACGAAACGACAAACCAACAATGCCTAACACTTTGACTATAGTTGGAGGTTGGAATAGCAATACTATCTCGCTGTACCTAAACACTCATTTTTTCTAGCAATTTCCTTCCTTTCCGACAAGGGTTTGAACAGTTTGCATTGTTGTACGCAAATGAGTAAACGAAACGACAAACCAACCATGCCTAACAGTTTTACTATAGTTGGAGGTTGGAATAGCGATACCATCTCTTTGTATCTAAACACTCATTTTTCTTGCAATTTCCTTCCTTTCCGACAAGGGTTTGAACAGTTTTGCATTTGTTGTACGCACATGAGTAAACGAAACGACAAACCAACCATCCCTAACACTTTGACTATAGTTGGAGGTTGGAATAGCAATACTATCTCGCTGTACCTAAACACTCATTTTTTCTAGCAATTTCCTTCCTTTCGGGTTTGAACAGTTTTGCATTTGTTGTACGCACACGAGTAAACGAAACGACAAACCAACCATGCTTAACAGTTTGACTATAGTTGGAGGTTGGAATAGCGATACCATCTCTTTGTATCTAAACACTCATTTTTCTTGCAATTTCCTTCTTTACCACCCTTTCCGACAAGGGTTTGAACAGTTTTGCATTTGTTGTACGCACACGAGTAAACGAAACGACAAACCAACAATGCCTAACACTTTGACTATAGTTGGAGGTTGGAATAGTGGTACTATCTCGCTGTACCTAAACACTCATTTTTCTAGCAATTCCTCCTTTACCAACAGAGGTTTGAACAGTTTTCCATTTGTTGTACGCATGCGAGTAAACGAAACGACAAACCAACCATGCCTAACACTTTGACTATAGTTGGAGGTTGGAATAGCGATACCATCTCTTTGTATCTAAACACTCATTTTTCTTGCAATTTCCTTCCTTTCCGACAAGGGTTTGAACAGTTTTGCATTTGTTGTACGCACATGAGTAAACGAAACGACAAACCAACCATCCCTAACACTTTGACTATAGTTGGAGGTTGGAATAGCAATACTATCTCGCTGTACCTAAACACTCATTTTTTCTAGCAATTTCCTTCCTTTCGGGTTTGAACAGTTTTGCATTTGTTGTACGCACACGAGTAAACGAAACGACAAACCAACCATGCTTAACAGTTTGACTATAGTTGGAGGTTGGAATAGCGATACCATCTCTTTGTATCTAAACACTCAATTTTTCTTGCAATTTCCTTCTTTACCACCCTTTCCGACAAGGGTTTGAACAGTTTTGCATTTGTTGTACGCACACGAGTAAACGAAACGACAAACCAACAATGCCTAACACTTTGACTATAGTTGGAGGTTGGAATAGTGGTACTATCTCGCTGTACCTAACACTCATTTTCTAGCAATTCCTCCTTTACCAACAGAGGTTTGAACAGTTTTCCATTTGTTGTACGCATGCGAGTAAACGAAAGGACAAACCAACAATGCCTAACACTTTGACTATAGTTGGAGGTTGGAATAGCGATACTATCTCGCTGTACCTAAACACTCATTTTTTCTAGCAATTTCCTTCCTTTCGGGTTTGAACAGTTTTGCATTTGTTGTACGCAAATGAGTAAACGAAACGACAAACCAACAATACCTAACAGTTTTACTATAGTTGGAGGTTGGAATAGCGAACTATCTCTTTGTTTCTAACACTCATTTTTCTTGCAATTTCTTCTTTACCACCCTTTCCGACAGGGTTTGAACAGTTTTGCATTTGTTGTACGCACATGAGTAAACGAAACGACAAACCAACAATGCCTAACACTTTGACTATAGTTGGAGGTTGGAATAGCGATACTATCTCGCTGTACCTAAACACTCATTTTTCTAGCAATTTCCTTCCTTTCCGACAAGGGTTTGAACAGTTTTGCATTTGTTGTACGCATGTGAGTAAACGAAAGGACAAACCAACAATGCTTCACACTTTGACTATAGTTGGAGGTTGGAATAGTGGTACTATCTCGCTGTACCTAAACACTCATTTTTTCTAGCAATTTCCTTCCTTTCCGACAAGGGTTTGAACAGTTTTGCATTTGTTGTACGCATGTGAGTAAACGAAACGACAAACCAACAATGCCTAACACTTTGACTATAGTTGGAGGTTGGAATAGCAATACTATCTCGCTGTACCTAAACACTCATTTTTTCTAGCAATTTCCTTCCTTTCGGGTTTGAACAGTTTTGCATTTGTTGTACGCACACGAGTAAACGAAACGACAAACCAACCATGCTTAACAGTTTGACTATAGTTGGAGGTTGGAATAGCGATACCATCTCTTTGTATCTAAACACTCATTTTTCTTGCAATTTCCTTCTTTACCACCCTTTCCGACAAGGGTTTGAACAGTTTTGCATTTGTTGTACGCACACGAGTAAACGAAACGACAAACCAACAATGCCTAACACTTTGACTATAGTTGGAGGTTGGAATAGTGGTACTATCTCGCTGTACCTAAACACTCATTTTTCTAGCAATTCCTCCTTTACCAACAGAGGTTTGAACAGTTTTCCATTTGTTGTACGCATGCGAGTAAACGAAAGGACAAACCAACAATGCCTAACACTTTGACTATAGTTGGAGGTTGGAATAGCGATACTATCTCGCTGTACCTAAACACTCATTTTTTCTAGCAATTTCCTTCCTTTCGGGTTTGAACAGTTTTGCATTTGTTGTACGCAAATGAGTAAACGAAACGACAAACCAACAATACCTAACAGTTTTACTATAGTTGGAGGTTGGAATAGCGAACTATCTCTTTGTTTCTAAACACTCATTTTTCTTGCAATTTCCTTCTTTACCACCCTTTCCGACAAGGGTTTGAACAGTTTTGCATTTGTTGTACGCACATGAGTAAACGAAACGACAAACCAACAATGCCTAACACTTTGACTATAGTTGGAGGTTGGAATAGCGATACTATCTCCCTGTACCTAAACACTCATTTTTTCTAGCAATTTCCTTCTTTTCCGACAAGGGTTTGAACAGTTTTGCATTTGTTGTACGCACATGAGTAAACGAAACGACAAACCAACAATGCCTAATACTTTGACTGTTGTTGGAGGGTGGAATAGCGATACTATCTAGCTGTACCTAAACACTTATTTTTCTAGCAATTTCCTTCTTTACCACCCTTCCCAACAAGGGTTTGAACAGTTTTGCATTTGTTGTACGCACACGAGTAAACGAAAGGACAAACCAACAATGCCTAACACTTTGACTATAGTTGGAGGTTGGAATAGCGATACCATCTCGCTGTACCTAAACACTCATTTTTCTAGCAATTTCCTTCCTTTTCGACAAGGGTTTGAACAGTTTTGCATTTGTTGTACGCATGCGAGTAAACCGAAAGGACAAACCAACAATGCCTAATACTTTGACTATTGTTGGAGGTTGGAATAGTGGTACTATCTCGCTGTACCTAAACACTCATTTTTCTAGCAATTTCCTTCCTTTTCGACAAGGGTTTGAACAGTTTTGCATTTGTTGTACGCACACGAGTAAACGAAACGACAAACCAACCATCCCCAACACTTTGACTATAGTTGGAGGGTGAAATAGCAACACTATCTCACTGTACATATGTATATTATTCACTTATCTCATTACCACCACCTCACTCACCACGTCCTGATTTGGAGCCTCCAGCGACCACACTGCCTCGCGAGCGTTGTTAACTTGATCTCTGGCTAGTAGACCAATGGCCAGCGATTCTCCTGGTTGCACCGTCGTGTACTGCAAGGGGAGGGAAGGGGGAGGGAGATGTACATGTATGTACATACTAGTACATATGTGAATGCGTTGTATGTAAGTGAGCAAGAGATGCAACAAATTGAGAAAAATTGTTTACAGATAGCTGGGAGGGGGAAAGGAGAAAGACAGGTACGTACTACGCACACTAGTACATGTACCTATCAACATTATTGAAACCAACATTCAGATCACACGGTTAGCTCACTAATTGATTGTGCCACATTCCTGCTAAATACAATATGAGGATGAAACTTACATCAACATCGATTTCAATAGTGGAGGGAGCAGTTGCTAGGTTAGTGTTGTTTACCAGATTACTCGCAGAAAATAGACTATTGTTCCTGTTGACGAGAGAGAGAGAGAATGTGTATCATAGTAAACCTCTGAAAACGAACCCTCGGGAAAATGGACGCCTCTCTAAAGGACACTTGGTTCAAGTTATACAACCTCTAAATTAGGGACACCTCTCTATAAAGGACACCTGGTTCTAATACTCTAAATAAGGGACACCTCGGCAAAGGCACAGTTTTGATATCCCCAAAGTGTTCGGTATTCAGAGATTCACTGAAAATGTGGAGGGTTGGGGGCAGAGAAGGAGAGAGAAGAGAGAAAGAGAGTAAGGAAAGAGGAAGGAGAGAGAGAAAGGGAGTAAGGAAAGAGAGAAGGAGAGTAAGGAAAGAGAGAAGGAGAGTCAGGAAAGAGAGAAGAGAGAGAGAGAGAGAGAAAGGGAGTAAGGAAAGAGGTAGAGAGAGGGAGGAAGGTAGGAGGCGGAGAAGATGGAGAGAACTCCCTTTCTCTCTCTCTTTCTCTCTTTCCTTACTCTCCTTCTCTCTTTCCTTACTCTCCTTCTCTCTTTCCTTACTCTCTTTCTCTCTTCTCTCTCCTTCTCTGCCCCCAACCCCCACAAGAGAAAGAGTCTGTCAAAGGACCTACTTGTACAGAAAGGGTGAGCGGTCGGCCAGTTCAGTAGGAAGAGTGAAGATGAGGGAAGTGTCGGTGGTGAAGTTGCCCAGCCAGCTGCATTGCTGCATGTCTGAGGCGTAGATGGCGGCTCCACTGAGTCTGGCTGTGTTGTTGATGAACGAGATCGCCACGTCCTACAGGAGAGGACAGTTTCATCATCATTGGAAGTAAGATTTGACAGAAAATGAGCAAGAATGAAAAGCTAATTTTTATGTGCTATGGGTAACAGCAAATTACAAATTGTAGTATGCATCAAGCCTAATTAATTAACCCTTTACCTGTGGTTTTAACCCCGTATCTAACAACCCTGCTAACCCATTTCTGCCAGTCTTGAGGGCCCTGTTTAACCCCTTAACTCCCATTCCCATTAATAAATCCCCTTTGCACCTACAGTCTTGAAGGTTCCATTTAACCCCTTTGCTCCTAGTCTTGAAGGTTCCGTTTAACCCCTTACCTCAGGTCCCATTAACCCCATTGCTCCTAGTTTTGAAGGTTCCGTTTAACCCCTTACCTCCCAGTCCTGTGGAGGGATATCTCGTCCCGACGGATCTCGATACTGGAGAAAGCACAGGCGATTGAAAATGTCTACAACGAATCTGATTGGTGGAAATTCGACGTAAATCCCTCCTCCAGACTCCCTTGCTACATTGTTGGTGAACGATATGTTAGTCCCTGGAGATAGTTCTAGCTGTGGGAGGAGGAGGAGAGGGGAAGAGATGAACAAAAATGGAGAGATACGTAAATCATCCAGAAGACGTTACCAGGCAACGGTCGTCCATGGCGATACCCCCACCAAACACTGCCGTGTTACTGTCGAACTCTAAAACTCCCGAGGCCCTCATCTGCGTGTTGAGCAGCGTGACCCCGCCCCCCAGGTTGCCAAGGAAACGGTTGGTCCCCTGGAATGTGATTGGGAATCGGAATGCGGCGATGGCACTGGTGTCTTGGGTGACTCCCTCTGACGTATTGTTCATGAAAAGACTGTGTCAACGGGCAAAAGGGGAAGGAAGAGAACAACGTAACAACATCCGTAGCCCCGCCCCACGAAAATTACAAGCCAGTACATAATTGTTGAAAGACTCACGGAAAGATACGTACGTGTTAGACGGATGCGCACACAGACACACACACGCACACAAGACAGACAGTTACCATGAAACTGAGAAATTGGAGTGAAAGAGAAAGAAGAAGGACTACTTCTTAAGCAGATGAAAAACACCAGAAAAATGCAAAAAACATTTCTCACCAGTTCTCAAATCCGACGGGGAAGCCGACCTGATCAACATGAACCAGGGAAAACAGCCCGACGGCTGTCCCTTCGTTCTTTGCCATGTTGTTGACGAAATCGCACTCGGTGAAATTGACTCCGTCTGGGCTCCGAGAGCTGTTGATGTCGCTGTCGTAGAGAGCTATGCTGAACGCTCCACCGGCATTTCCAGAGTTTCCCAGGAAACTGCAGTTTCTGACGATTATTGTGTTATTGAATGAAATCTGGAAGGAGTTGATGCTAACGGCACCACCAGACGCCTCCTCAACGGTGTTCCCTGTGTGAAAGAGAGTTGTCCTGATAATTTCAGGACAGCTTGCTTTTTAGGACACGGTCATGATCAGGACACCTGATAACTTCAGAAAAACTTGGTTTATAGGAAATATGTACAGTCATGCATGATGACACCAAATTTATCAGGACACTCCCTCCCTCCCTCCCTAATGACTCTCAGTCACATCCAAACTTTCAGGACACCTTTAACAGTGTCCTAATCGGGGGAAATCCCTCGCCTCACCTGTGAAATTGCTTCTCTCGATGAAGATGGAACTTCCCGAAACGCTCTCAGATAGTGTCATGTAAATAGCTCCACCATCCACCTGCGCTTTGTTATTGACAAACTCCGAGTCAGCGATGGTAATTTCCGATCCATCGGCGTTGGCTAGTCGAATCAGGACAGCTCCCCCATGTCCGTTGGCCTTCAGTAGGACAGGTCGAGTATTGTTTGGGTCGTTTCGATTTGCCGAATTCTCGACGAAGGAGCATTTTTCGATTCGGATGGTGGCTGGTTGGCCTCGAGTGAAGAAAGTGAAACCACCGCCAGTTGTGATGCTGTCATAGAGCTCTTCGATTGAGGTTTCGTTTACGTCTGGCTCGGCGACCTGCTGGTTGTCGTTGTTAATGAAGTGAGTGTTTGTGAGTGTGACGTCGTTGCAGAACTGTCCCTGGAGACTGGAACCTATGTTGTCTCTGTTGTAGACATGAGAATTTTATATACAAAAGACTACCATTTAATTTTGCATACAAAACTTGTGCTGAAACACTGCAAAGTATTTAGTGTGCAGCACTATAATGTATTAGTATGGGGCAGAACCAAGTGTCCTTTATAGAGAGGTGTCCCTGTGTATTAGTATGGGGCAGAACCAAGTGTCCTTTATAGAGAGGTGTCCCTATGTATTAGTATGGGGCAGAACCAAGTGTCCTTTATAGAGAGGTGTCCCTATGTATTAGTATGGGGCAGAACCAAGTGTCCTTTATAGAGAGGTGTCCCTATGTATTAGTATGGGGCAGAACCAAGTGTCCTTTATAGAGAGGTGTCCCTATGTATTAGTATGGGGCAGAACCAAGTGTCCTTTATAGAGAGGTGTCCCTATGTATTAGTATGGGGCAGAACCAAGTGTCCTTTATAGAGAGGTGTCCCTATGTATTAGTATGGGGCAGAACCAAGTGTCCTTTATAGAGAGGTGTCCCTATGTATTAGTATGGGGCAGAACCAAGTGTCCTTTATAGAGAGGTGTCCCTATGTATTAGTATGGGGCAGAACCAAGTGTCCTTTATAGAGAGGTGTCCCTATGTATTAGTATGGGGCAGAACCAAGTGTCCTTTATAGAGAGGTGTCCCTATGTATTAGTATGGGGCAGAACCAAGTGTCCTTTATAGAGAGGTGTCCCTATGTATTAGTATGGGGCAGAACCAAGTGTCCTTTATAGAGAGGTGTCCCTATGTATTAGTATGGGTGCAGAACCAAGTGTCCTTTATAGAGAGGTGTCCCTATGTATTAGTATGGGGCAGAACCAAGTGTCCTTTATAGAGAGGTGTCCCTATGTATTAGTATGGGGCAGAACCAAGTGTCCTTTATAGAGAGGTGTCCCTATGTATTAGTATGGGGCAGAACCAAGTGTCCTTTATAGAGAGGTGTCCCTATGTATTAGTATGGGGCAGAACCAAGTGTCCTTTATAGAGAGGTGTCCCTATGTATTAGTATGGGGCAGAACCAAGTGTCCTTTATAGAGAGGTGTCCCTATGTATTAGTATGGGGCAGAACCAAGTGTCCTTTATAGAGAGGTGTCCCTATGTATTAGTATGGGGCAGAACCAAGTGTCCTTTATAGAGAGGTGTCCCTATGTATTAGTATGGGGCACGCACCAAGTGTCCTTTATAGAGAGGTGTCCCTATGCTATTAGTATGCGCGCAGAACCAAGTGTCCGTTTATTAGAGACGGTGTTCCCTATGTATTACAGGGAAAGAGAGGCGCAAGCGCATGTCCTTGTTAGACGGGGTGGTCCTATGTAGTAGTAGCGGGCAGTTTCCCAAGTGTCCTTCTATAGAGTATGCGTTATTTCGTATGTGGGTCTTCTTGCAGTCCCAACCACCCAGTGTCCTTTCATAGAGATCGCGTTTTGTTGCTATGGGGCGCAGAGCCTGCGTCCTCTATAGTAGAGGCTCGTCCCAATGTATCTACGCTATGGGGAGAAGGCCTCGGGTCCTTATAGCGTCCCTCGCTACGCTCGGACGCTACAGCCCAGGGCCCTCGGCCTTCTAAATCGCGTAGATTTCGCGGACTCACTGTCTAACTATTATGTATGGGGCAGAACCAAGTGTCCTTTATGGATCGAAGTAGCCTTTACTCAGAGGGTCCATTTTTGGAGGGTTCACACACAATAACTGCTAACCTAAGCAAAATTCACCTGAAGGTACAGTTGTCAAACACCAATCCAGATGAATGGTTGAGGAAGACGTTGGGAGAGAACGGCCCACACTTCCTGAATACCAACCCTTGAAACCGCACCCTCTCCGACCCGCACACGTACAGGTTGTCATAGTAATCGTTGTTGGGGACCGTCGCACATTCTATGATGACGTCGCCAGGAGCGTCGCCACGGGAACGAATCGTGAGGTTGCTGGCCTGCAAGATACCGAGACAGGCGGTGAGGCGATAGACACCGGGAGACAACTGGAGGTCAAGGTTCGGAGGGAGCCTTTTAGTGTTGTCAAGGTAACAGCCTCGGCTGCACGGTTGGTTACCGAGTGCTGCTTGGAGCGACTGACACGGAGAGATATCTGGGTGGGGAGGGCAAAGGTCAAAATCATATATACACAAGGCTAACTCTGAGCATTATACAGTGGAACCCCTCTAATCCAGACACCAATGGGACGGAAGAAAGTGTCCATATTAGTGAGGTGTCCTTTTTTAACACGCATAAGAACTGTTCTCGAGGAAAGAAAAGGTTTAGTTGGTGTCCTTATATCAGGGTAAATGATGCCACTATTTTACACTCGCAGATACATACTCGCAAAACAGCAACACACAAGTTACCAGAAATATAAGACAAGTCGTGTAATCGCAGCAACAGCATTGCTGGAGACAAGACAGTCACATTTTGCAGTTTGCGACAAGATGCGTGCAAGTCGTACCGACAGTTACTGGAAGTTGACTCGGTGTAGTAACAAACAGACAGACAAATTTACCAGCGCAACGTACGTACCGCAGATCAAAGTGAAACAGAAAATAGCAAGCCACAGGCAGCAAACCTACAACCGCTATATAGCTCCCGTAGGAAAATCCCATAGCTACACACACACACGTAGTTTGCTGTAGATATTTCCACTGGAGACCTGCAGGGTATTCAGTGGTGGAGTCGTTCAGATCCTGTGCGGCAACACACAGAGAGTCATTCCCCGCAGCTGCGTCGACCGGTATTACCACTGCCCGCGCCCCGCGGCCACAGAGGAGCTGGCCCAGCAGTAGAGGGAGAGAGGAGAAGAGGAGAATACTTCGAACACCAGCCATCCCGTCAGTGCTACGGCCTTTCTGCCCTTTCTTTACCGACAATCAGAGAAGCGAGCGATCGAGAGATGACCGTTGAGGATCAGGGGGAGGGGCTAAAATTACATACGCGCATGCGCAATAAACGTCGTTAATTCCGGAGAGAAAAGGAGGTTGGGCATATGGGCATGCAGCGAACAAGCTATACAGCTAGAGGGAGCGATGGTGGAGGCAGAGTAAAACTCTAGAAGACGGACTTCTCTTGCCTTTTCGACACGAGATCGGAGCTCGTAAGTTTCCGCTAGCTAAACACTGTGCGTGCAACAACAATAACATTTATATAGCGAGGAGGACAGCTATGCTGGTAGCTATACGTGGGCCCCGTTCAAACATGCCGTGTAGTTTCATAGCACAGTTGTTGACATATGTAGCTACGCGTAGGTAATGATAGATAGCTAAGCAACCCCCGCAGACATTTAAAACCGCCTCACACATGGCTAGCTATAGATTTTCTTTCCGCAGTTCAGTGTATATATACCTAAAAAGCGGCCGAGAGTGAAATAGAAGGTCTCCTACTTGCACGGAGAAAGTAGGGAGAAGCCGGGAAAGCCATGCAGCTTCGTTTGCAGCCACAACTACTCTGTGTGTTGGTAACTCTCCCTTTCCTCTGCCTCAATGTCTCATCTTCTGATGGCAACCATCCACTAAAGAGAGAAGGTATGGTCTGGAGTTCTCACTGTGCATGATAAAATGGCTGTTTATGATTTAGCGATGTAAGCCTTCGTTAGATTTACATAATGAATCCCAAATTACACTGCAAACTGTTAAATAAGTGGGACATGCAGGGCCTCCAATTTGTACGCCATTTTCAGATGAAATGAAAATAGTGGGTAATCCAGAGACTGTAGCAACAGCGCTATGTTGAAAACTTATGCACGATACAGCGGCCTGCGTGAAAATGACAAGGTTTGACTGTAGACATGCAGAAAACATACATAGGTACAATTCGTTTGCTAGACAAGTGCTGCCCTTATATTTAAAAACATTGTGTCAGTACAATTATACATAAGGGCTATATTATATTTGCAATAAGAGTCCAGTGCAAGAATGCAGTTTCTGTGAAGTTTCTGTTATTTCAGTAGCAGTTTTTATAACTCTTTGTGTCCACTGACCACTTCTTGTTGTTTCTGTTCTGTCCAACAGCAAGCGACCATCTTACACTGACAGTCAATTCGATGACGTCACTTCAACAAGCCATCGACATCGCCTCGTCTCTCGGAAACACTGCAGCCTACACCAAGATTCAAATACCTCCCGGCAACCACTTACTCACAGCACCGACTCTCTTCCGAGGGGAAATCAACGAGATAGAAATGACAGGGGCGGGAGGGGGTGAGGTGCGGTTGCTATGCAACTACTCCGTGGGGTCCAACAACTACACGTGGTATTTTGCCGGTCTTCAGTCTGTGATGCTGACTGGAATCGGGTTCGAGGATTGCGCAAGACCTCTGAGGCTGGATACAGTCGCCGAGGTGACTATTCAAGACTGCTCGTTCAGGTATGTATGTGATTACAATAGAACCCATCTTGTCCGGATACCAATGGGGACAGAAGAACGCGTCCACATTAGTAAGGTGTCCTCATTTCAGGGATCGAATTGCATGTGACTTTTCTAGGGTAAAGATAGTGTGTCATTATTAGAGAGGTGTCCTTGTCTGGATGGTGAGATTTCTCAGCGAAAAGCGAAATTAATTCACAAAACCTTTAACTTTCACAAATAATCTCTCTCTCTCTCTGTCCAGGATGTTCACGGAAGCAGCACTGGACATCTTCAACTGTCACCACGTCCTCTTCAACCACTCACTGCTTCAAGACAACTCCGGTACAGGCATCGTCAACGCCAGTTACCGTGGCAACACGGGCGGAGTCTCGTTCGGCTACAACACTCTCCCCGTAAACTTCAGCTCGCCGTCGCTACTGGTAACCGATTGCGTGTTTCGCAACAACAGCGCCCGTGCGACTTCCGCATTCAGAACCTCCAGTCAGGCGTTCTTCGCCCAGATTTTTACTGGACGTGGCGGTTCACTGGCACTCTTTGTAAACGAATCACACTACGATCTCGACGTCACAATCAGGAACTGCATCTTCACGGAGAACACAGCTCGTTCGTTTGGGGGCGGGGTCTATCTGTTGCTAGGTGGGTTCGGGACCAGTCATAGGGTTGTCGTCGAGAGAGCGAGAGTGATATCAAATGTTGCGCAACTCGGCGGGGGAGGATTTCAAGCGTCGTTCTTCAACAACGGGCCCGAGGATGCCCCTCTAATGATGAGATTTGATGACTGCCGGTTTGAGAACAACTCTGGTATTGCTGGAGGAGGCATATTCGTCTTCACCTCCACTGACGGTAAGTGTTTGTTTCGTAATTCTTTGGGTGGGGCGTTTTTGGTTTACAGTGGAACTCCTCTAATCCAGACACCAATGGGACAGAAGAAAGTGTCGATCCTATTAATGAGGTGTCCTTATTTCAGGGGTTATTTTGCGTGCAGGAAACTGTTGTAGAGAAAAGGTGTCCCTTATTTGGAGAGGTGTCCTCATTGTATGTTTAGGGCTTTCGAGGAGCTAAGAGCACAATGCAGCATTTTATTTCACTTGAAATTTTTCTATTCCATGGCAGGTGGTGTAGGAAACCTGGTTCAGATACGTTCGACCCTATTTACCGGTAACCGTGGTTACACGGGAGGCCCCGGCGACTACGGAGCTGCGGTGGCGTTGTCTCTCCTGAACCCACTGGTGGAGAGGTCAAATTTCCCTCGCCACGAGATCACCGACTGGTGAGTCAGGTCACATGACACTCATGTGATTGGTGAGTCAGGTCACATGACACTCCACCCATTAGTGAGTCAGGTGACAGGTCATATGACTATCACATGAGAAATCTCAAGTCAAAAGTCTCATTGAGGCTGAATTGCTATGTTTTTGGTTTTTCGTACATACACAGACACCAGTTTTCTAACTAAAGTGAAAATACTCCAGGCTGTGTGTGTGACCTTACTAGGAAGTACCACATCTCTTTAATACTGACTCTGTTAGCTACATATATAGCACATCTGCATGGTTTTCTCCTGACCAGTTTGTCTCATACTATCTCACCTCCTATGACCCTAGTAAAGAGTTTACCTTTAAACAGTACTTCTTAACATGAGGTCAGCATACTTGTCCCCTACAACAGTCCAATGACAATCAATTACCTAATATGGTCGTGCTAGTATGCCCTCATAAACTCTACACTTCGTACATAATTATGTAAGAACAATACAGTAATGCCTTACATAGTACCATATGGAGCAAGGTAGGCATATCGTCATGTCAGTCTGTGTAGTAAAGAACAAAGCCAACTTGCTCTGAGGGGCCTGTTCGATACTGTGTATGTGTGTGTGTACCATAGGGCAGTGTGCCTCTTCCACCTCACTGTATGTAGTATGTGTGTGTATACCTTAGGGCAGTGTGCCTCTTCCACCTCACTGTATGTAGTATGTGTGTGTATACCTTAGGGCAGTGTGCCTCTTCCACCTCACTGTATGTAGTATGTGTGTGTATACCTTAGGGCAGTGTGCCTCTTCCACCTCACTGTATGTAGTATGTAAAGTCCATTTTTGCCACCATATAATAATTATTATTCATTTGTGACATATGACCATATGATTACTGTACTACGGACTAATAATACTGACTGGCATATATATAATATTTATACTGTCGTAGTGGCATATGCACAAAGCATGGACAGTCCTAATGAATACTATCGATTTTTTTATGTGTGAAATGCAAACTCTGTCAACTCTCTCCTCCCTCCCTCCCTCCCTCCTCTCTTAGTGAGTTCCACAATAATTCAGGAGCCAATGGAGTAGTAAGTGTCGGCTACTCTCCCACGAACTTCACCGGAAGAAATGTATTCTCAGGAAACAAAGGAACTTCACTCAGGGTGAGTGAGAGGGTAGGGAGTTATGTGTATGCAACTACGGAAAATAGATCCCGCGTTTGGACCAATGAAATTGCGCAATTTCAAATCACCGGGATCTAAGTTTATGAACACATTTGAGTACGCTGACACCCCGACCCCATCACATAATCCCTATAATTATTGTTGCCTGGTGTGCTACTCTTATAGGGAATATCGCATTGTAATTGTAAGGGCTAAAAGCAAGCATGCTTTCACCGTGTCCCTATTGTTTTAATTTATACTGCCACATTCCCTATAGGTGAGTGAGAGGGTGGGGAGCTAGTTGTGTATGCAACTTTTGTTGTGGTTTTGAAGGAACCATCAAATGACACCTCTGAATAAGGGACACCTTTAGGACCATTTTTATCCTGAGGCAATAATAATTATACAACAGTATTGGGGCAGAACTAATAGAGAGGTGTCCCTATGTATTAGTATGGGGCAGAACCAAGTGTCCTTTATAGAGAGGTGTCCCTATGTATTAGTATGGGGCAGAACCAAGTGTCCTTTATAGAGAGGTGTCCCTATGTATTAGTATGGGGCAGAACCAAGTGTCCTTTATAGAGAGGTGTCCCTATGTATTAGTATGGGGCAGAACCAAGTGTCCTTTATAGAGAGGTGTCCCTATGTATTAGTATGGGGCAGAACCAAGTGTCCTTTATAGAGAGGTGTCCCTATGTATTAGTATGGGGCAGAACCAAGTGTCCTTTATAGAGAGGTGTCCCTATGTATTAGTATGGTGCAGAACCAAGTGTCCTTTATAGAGAGGTGTCCCTATGTATTAGTATGGGGCAGAACCAAGTGTCCTTTATAGAGAGGTGTCCCTATGTATTAGTATGGGGCAGAACCAAGTGCCTTTTATAGAGAGGTGTCCCTATGTATTAGTATGGGGCAGAACCAAGTGTCCTTTATAGAGAGGTGTCCCTATGTATTAGTATGGGGCAGAACAAAGTGTCCTTTATAGCCTATGTATTAGTATGGGGCAGAACTAAGTGTCCTTTATAGAGAGGTGTCCCTATGTATTAGTATGGGGCAGAACCAAGTGTCCTTTATAGGGAGGTGTCCTTTAATCAAAGGGTCCTTATTCGGAGGTTTCATTGTATACATACTGTTTCAAAGAACATTCAATTTTTCAAATCAAAAACACTACTTTGTTTTCCACTAAAGTTTCGTTTTCATAATCCTCAGGTGGTGGGAGCCATAATCTACCTGTCAGGTGAGCTCCATTTCACCAACAACTTCGCCACCAGTGGAGACGAGAGTGCCCTCCACATGCTGTCGTTTGCACAAGCCATCCTCAGTCGAGGTCTCTTTGTCAACTTTGAGGGAAACTCTGGAAGGTTTGCAATCTCTAACACTGTATCGTACTGAACTCTCACCTTGTCAGTACATACGTACGGGCTAATTTTAGAAAGACAGTCTAAATTTAGCACTTATATTATTATAATATATAATATACTGCCACGTTTCCCTTAATAGAATGCACGACAACTAGGTTTAGCAAGTTTAGCAGATTTTACTGCATTCAGAATTTTTATGCGGAGCTGGACGCGGTAATTTGAGAACTGTTTTAAATGGTATTAGATCTCAACCACTGTATGTTGTATTACGAGACCACTGTATGTTGTATTACGAGACCACTGTATGTTGTATTACGAGACCACTGTATGTTGTATTACGAGACCACTGTACGTTGTATTACGAGACCACTGTATGTTGTATTACGAGACCACTGTATGTTGTATTACGAGACCACTGTACGTTGTATTACGAGACCACTGTATGTTGTATTACGAGACCACTGTATGTTGTATTACGAGACCACTGTACGTTGTATTACGAGACCACTGTATGTTGTATTACGAGACCACTGTACGTTGTATTACGAGACCACTGTATGTTGTATTACGAGACCACTGTACGTTGTATTACGAGACCACTGTATGTTGTATTACGAGACCACTGTATGTTGTATTACGAGACCACTGTACGTTGTATTACGAGACCACTGTATGTTGTATTACGAGACCACTGTATGTTGTATTACGAGACCACCGTACATGTTACCACAGGTTTGGTACCAGTATCACGATAGAGGCAACCACGACCTCCACAGTTTACACTCAGCTGGCCGGGACCCCCAGTGTCCCTTTCTTCACGAAGACTTCGGCACTGTCCCTCAGAACTGGACCAACGTACGTCTTCCCTGTCTCTCTCTCTCTCTCTCTCTCTCTCTCTCTCTCTCTCTCTCTCCTTTCTCTCTTTGGGACTTTCCCTCAGAACTGGTATGCCATTTCTCTCAATCTCCTTTTCTCTTTTCCCCTTTTGACACCATCCCTCAGATCTGGACCAATTCTCTAGGTTTTGCAAAATTTTTACCGTCATCAGACACCTTTAGTGTACTATATGTCATACCAATTTAGTCGTCAGTTTTGAGGGATGTTCTCTCTTTATTCTCCATTTTCACTCTCTCCCCCTCCCCCCTCTCTCTCTCTCTCTCACCCTCTCACAGGTGACAGTCAGATTCACTGACAACTCGGCCACTCTCGGCTCAGCAATCTACGTCTCTCGACTCAACACCTGCTCTTGGTTCAGCCGAAAGCCCCCATTTTTCAACAACACATTCCTAGTCGACTGGCCCATCTGGATTATCGAGTCAGTCCTGAATTCTAACAAATTCCCAAAATTTTCTGAAGGGCTCAAAACAATCTCATAATTTGAGGTGGTTTTTGCATAAAATAAGAGTGGTTTCGGGGTTCTCTTAATAAATTGAGAAGATTTTTTGAGATCTCCTACGTATATTGAGAGGCTCTTAAAGATTTTTACGCAATCTCTGCGATCTGATAATTATTTTTAGAAGGGCATCTCATAATTTGAGGGGCCTCTTTTTAATTTTATGGGCCCTCATCATCTCCTCATAATTATAGAGAGCCCTCTATTTCCCCCTCAGACCCACTAATGTTGACACGGGATATACAGAGGAAGAGCAGAGAAACACGACCGTCTCGGTGCAGACTCAAGTCAATACACTCATCATCAGCAACCACACCGTGAGTCACACACACACTCCTACATACACCTCTCTCCCTCCTTTCTCTTCTTAACCCATACCAAACACAACCGTCTCGGTGCAGACTCAAGTCAATACACTCATCATCAGCAACCACACCGTGAGTCACACACACACTCCTACATACACCTCTCTCCCTCCTTTCTCTTCTTAACCCATACCAAACACGACCGTCTCGGTGCAGACTCAAGTCAATACACTCATCATCAGCAACCACACTGTGAGAGCACTATCCCATCATTAATGATACCCATGCAGTTAAAGGCTACTAATAAATCAATGATGAAGTGTTAACATTTAACCAGCCATGGACACATACATGTGTCCAGTCTCCATTGGGGGTTATAGTACTAGGCGCTTTATACATCAATTTCTGCTTATTTAAGCAGATACCCATGGTGTCCAAAGGGTTAAAACCGCATACAGTGGTGCACTGAGCCGTTGGTTTCACTTCTTTGATGCTCTGTTGTGTAGCAGAAAATGTGGTAACAGACAAAGTACCGCTGCACATGCGTACCAAAGGTAAACATTTTGACAGATTGCTTTATTGCGATGACATCATCTTTAATTAGCAGGTTAACTCCGATTAATTATGTGATATAACGAGGATCATAAACTAATTTAGGGAAGAACACACAGTTGTAAGAAAACACTAATACTTCGGCAAGACATTATAAACTAAACAGAAGCTATTTCAACAGACGCAGTTTGTGATATGTCACCACACACCATCAGTGTGTTGTTAGAAAGAACTGCTGCAAGGCAATAAGATCGCTTCATTTTCATGTGGCTAATGACACGCCAAGAGTTTGTGGTTGCATCATATTGCCTCACTTCAGTCGCTCCTCCTACTGCCAGTAGCTGGCGTTGGAAGGTGACGAGAGAAGACAGAACCACTGGAAGTGGAGCAACTTCTTTCCACACTGGAGGACTACTGGAGAGACCTGGTCTGGTGGCTAGTGACTGTGGCTGTGCCTGGAGGAGGTCTTTCACCTCACACATTACCACTGACTTGGTTGCATCCACACCAGTACTATACCCACCACCAATATAGAGTCTGTCCCCACAGATGGTGGCTGTGGCCTGATAGAGAGGAAGAGGTAGACTGGCTACTGTGGACCATTGTAGTGTCTGAATGTCCATCACTTCTACTGGTGCCTTCTCCTCATCTGGACCCCATCCTCCAGCTACTATCAGTGATGTGTTGGTGGTAGTGACTGGTGGGACATTGCGACAGTATGTCATTGGTGGAAATTGTTCAATCCACTTCTGTTGGAAGATGCCTGGTCTGTCCTGTGGGAGACTGAGAAGAGTGTTTGTGGCTTTGCCTGATTGTTTCCCTCCAATTGCTGTCAGTTGTCCATTCACTGCTGCTATGGAGAAGAACATTTTGGGGCATTCTGGAAGAACTGTCCATTGCCCTGTCCTTGAGTTAAACATCAGCACTTTATGGCTGCCAAAATTCCCATCAGCACAGTACACCATCTCTCCACTGGCTGCTACTGAATATCCTTTGGTGGATAACGGAGCTGGTGGCCCATCCCTCCACTCCAGTTTCAGAGGTCCTGTGGCCACACCACTTCCCTCCCTCTCCCTCACTCTGTGAGGCAGTTCTCGTATCTCTCTCTCCTTCTCCTGCAGCAACTCATCCTTTACCCGAAGTGCTGCATCTTTCTGCTCCACACTCTGTTGTAGAGCAGCCACCACCTCTTCATTACTGACTTGAAGTGTTCGGATCTGTCGTTGAAGTTGCTGATTTTCTTCATCTTTCCGCTGAGTTTGCTGTTGAAGTTGCTGAACTAGTTCATCTTTCTGTTGTATGCTTCTGGCTAGTTCTTCATTCTGCAGCGTCAGTTGCTGTACTTCTCTGGTGAGGTCTTCAACTCTCGACTCACTCTCCCTCAGTTGTTGCTCTAGTTCCTGGTCTCTGGCAGGAGGTGCCTGACCTGTCGTCTCCTCTGGGGTCTGCTGGAGGCTGTCTCGGTAGGCAGCACTCTCTTTCAGAGCAATCAGGCGAGAGCACAGCTGCTCGGCCGTCGGTCGCTGACCTTCCTTGTCTTTGAGGCAGTCCAGGGCTACCTCCAGGAGAGGGTGTGTGGGGGAGATGAGATCCAGGTGCTCCTTACGACGTTCCAACTCGGGGACTACCACAAGCACTCGTCCTGATGGGACACGAGGATCGCTTATTTGTATGGTGCGTGTACGAGGGCCTGGGTTGGGCCACTTGCGAGTGATGAGCTGAACAAAGAGCACACCACAGGAAAAGACGTCCAGTTTGCTGGTGTATGTCGGGGGATCTGCCAGTGCCTCGGGAGACATGTAGGCATTGGTTCCGGGGCAGTAGGTGGGAGTGAGGCGAGGGTCGCTGCCCAACAGCTTAGCCATGCCAAAGTCGGTCACCTTGGCTCGCCGGCTGCCGATCAAGAGGACGTTGTTGCTGCTGAGGTCACGGTGCAGCACCTCGTGGCGATGGAGGTGGGAGAGAGCCTGTGCCACGTCGTGGCCAATGTCCACCTGCACGTGGAGAGGGAGAGGGGGAGGGTCTGCCGGCCGCTCCATGGAAGCTGGTCAGGCTCTCGTCCATCAGCTCCATGACAGACTGGCATTCGAGTGTCGGGGTCCGCACATGACCCCAGGTACTGGATGACGTTGGGGTGCCTCAGGCCGCTCAGGAACTTTGATCTCTCGCTGGAAGCGCTCCACAATGCGGTAGGCGGCGGGTCCTGGTCTGGAAGAGGATGGGGTGCAGGACTTTTGGCGGCGCAGACGAGCTGGTCACACTTGGCCCTG